AAAAATTTTTGAGGCGAAATACCCAAAAAGAAGTTTGCAAAAAATGATTCTTTCAGCTCCGAAGTTTTGAACTTAAGTTAATTTCCAAAAAAATTGGGGTTTTCACAGTTCAGCAACAGTTAGGATTTTTAGACAGTTGAAATTTTAAGAGCGAATTGGCTGCAAAAGTTAAAAAAGGTAAAAAATTGTCAGGTTTCGCTATGAAAGTGGATTATGAAGTCGCGAAATCGTCAAAAATCCGAAGCGTTTACCGACTATTTGTTTCGAAGAACAAGTGACGAATTCTATATGCGAGACTTCGACTTGACGAAACAAACTGCGAAGGTTGAACACACCTCCGCACCGAAAGTTTGCACTTTGAACATGAAGCACCGATCGTTCAAAACAAGACATTGCTTGCCACTTACCACTGTTTTACAAGCATCAGTTTTAGTGTAATTGATCGATTGGCCATAGACCTTCTGACCAACAAAACTGTAAAATAATGTTTACTTTGCACTTGAAATACAATTAGCACAGAAACGGTGCTTCGACAAATTGGAGCTTGAATGCCGTCAAGAGTTTTCCACATTAGTAACTTGTGAAAAATCCCACTCAATTCAGTAAACCGTGTCACTTGGAACTAGTTCTTCAATGCAAAACGATTAGCGTGAACAGTCATTTAAACGTGAGGACAAGGATAAGAGCAAGTTAACAAGCTGCAGAAGAACATTTGCTTTATTTCTCTGAAGTCGAAGAGTTTCGAAGGCCCAACCCTCGGGCAACATTCCTGCTGCAACTGACCGGGAATATTTCAAAAGCCTTGCCATGTTTATCTCCACATATTCACCCCCCGAAAATACTTTCCAAAGTTCAAACCGCAACTTTGTCATATCACTTCAGAGCGTATTAATTAGCTGAAAATCGCGGCTTATTAAACATTCCAACTGAACAGTGTGAAACGAAAACATGCGAGTAAGTGCGCGTATTAATTACGCATTACCTTCGGTTATTGCTTCATTAAACCAGAAATTTAATCAATTTGCAGGCGCGGAAATCGGAACTTTGTGGCTAAATAAATAACCACCACTAGCAGGCGACTGTTGGGTCAGTGGAAAAATTAATTGCACCTAATTGACCTTTTGGAGCGGCAATTTAATATAAATGACGCTGTCCATTAGCGGCTATCCCATGGGAACTGTCAATGGGCCACATTTTAACCTGGAGTCTCTCATGGCACTAATTTAGCAGGATTTACGATGACAAGCCACAAAAACAGCTAAAAAAATCATGAGCGCTTAGGCGGGTACGTCAGGCTCCTGAGGATGCCAACCTAAATATGGCAAAACGTCGGCAATTATATATGGAAAACGTACTAAAACGCTTAAGAATTTTATTAGTCGTTTAATGCCCAACTTTTGACCCTTTTAACCAACTTTATCATTCTCGGGTTCCGATATCCCCATGGAAGACAAACTGCTTAAAAACTGCGTATTCCAAAAAACGGAATATCACTTCTGATTCCTTGGAAGAACACCCCAAAATTGCTGCTTTTATTGCTTCAGTTAATAGTTCAAGCTGCCTCAACTTCGAGCTCAAACGCAACTCATTGGAATCGTAAATAATTTTGCAAGGGATTTTCTCTTGGAGTTTTGGCAGCGGCAAAAGAAGAATCGTCCACTTACCCACGTGGAACAGTTCAATAAATCTTTGGCAAACTGGCAGTCACTTTAAATCCGATTAACACGATCAGCTTTTGTCGACTGGATCTCGCACAAACTACCGACCTACAATAACGCCATCCTCTCAATTCAGTACCGATAAATACGGATTTAACAACAGCCAATCAGCACGATCGTAATGGGGCAATAGAGTTTTTCCGAATTGCGTCAATCGGTTCACTTTTCTTTTTTTATTTCGGGAAAGTCGTTTCCGGATGGGAATTAGTCATTATTTGCTTCAGATTGCTATCGCTGCCAGACCAGGCGGATACATAAAAGTCAGTCAATATCGGGGAACGCCCCAATCTGTCTTCAATGCGGAGCCTCTAGGAATTTACAGGAATTAGTCATCAATACGTTAGAAGATTGGTGTTGAAGATGTTGAAGAAGTCGCTTAAGCGGCTAAAAGGTTCTGCCGATGACTGGGCACCGCATTGGAAAATGAGCTAATTTTGCATAGTTAATTTATGAAGATCCGCAAATTAGCTCATCCATTTACTACCTTATTGTATGCAAATTTCACTAAAGCTTTTGAAAAAATTTCCCGAAACGACACTTGGTTCAGCGAATATGGCCATTTTGCATCAGCGATGCGTAATCTTAAGGTAATAAGTCACTAAACGTGAAAACTTAATTGAATTAAACGTGACGCTCGCCAAAGAGCGTGAGTTACTTTATTCCATATATGAACAAGCGAGTAACATATTTATTCCATTTTATAACTCAGTTCCCGACTGAAAACGAAAATTATATAGAATTTCTACTTTGGAAACGCCGTCAAGGTTTCCCCTTGAATAAAGTGCAAAAGCGGCACATTTTTGCATTTTATCCCATCGTGGATCTAAAAACTCGTCCTGACATTTCGCTAGCACGTATAGCCATCATCTGCAGAATTGTGATCGATTTGGGCGCTCACACAGTGATTCGAATGAATTAAATAACGCTTCCATTCAGGCACGTAGCTGGCATCGGTTCGTCCCACTCGCACCCATAGGAATCTATCAGATATGTCAGATTCCGGCGCGTTGCTACGTTCGAACTTGACACCTTTAAGACTAAAAAAAAAATCAGTTTTGAGCCGAAGCTGGAAAAAAAATTTTTCGCTTTCAAGTCAAACGTCAGAATAGGTTGTTTTTCAAAATGCGTCAACATTATTCGACGTTTCAATGAAAATCCTGTAAAAAGTGTGGAACATTTGATGATATCGACGATAGAAATTTGCTTTTTCGGCCCTGAAGATGGCTTAAAATAGAACCGAAACATTGGTTGTGTCTCGAAAGTACAACGAAAATGAGCCAATTTATCTTTGTTATATTTTCAACCCACAACACTCATATTCGATATTGGGCAGCTTCTTAGATCGGAAACAATCCAATGAGGGTAAAAAGCACGATTGCAAAATTTTGATTTTTGGTAGAAAATTGCATATCAAAATACCTCGACTGCGACATCATTTTCATCGGAAAGAGACAAGGAATGCAACGAGCTAATTAAAAGACACC